CAACGTACCAGTCTCGAGTTATAGATTTCTAATTACTAATTTTACTTACATTTTTATTCTTAGTTGAGATTGATATTTAACGATTCATAATTTGGGATACGAGGTATATACATGAGGGTTTCCTTGTTTGGATTATTTCGCTCGACATACTCATTCTCATGTTATGAATCTCTAAATACCAATTTCTTTTTAGTATAGTGTTGATGACTTTATACTTATATGTACTAACCAGTATTTTCTTATATACTACTACCCCTTCCCCTTGGAGGCGGTAGAGATGATATCGCTAGCGCTTTGACGCTCGTTATTTTCCCTCTTTTTAGGCGGCGAGTTCAGCACACGGAGAGTCGCAGGTTGATGTGATTTCGTCTTAGATTCTCTTTCTCTCTCTCTCTCTCTCTCTCTATACAATCAAAAAGCTCTCTTTTTTCGTGTCTTGCAAACCCTAAAAACGTTTGGGGTATATATAGAGTCCTGGTAGAAACAGAATTCAAAACAGTTTAGGAAACTGTTTGACTACGTCGCGGTCGACCGTGGCGGTCGACCGTGCAAATTCTAGAGAGTTGAGTGCGGTCGACCGCGATCAGACGACAAAAGCTCCTCAGATTCTAGGGAGTTGAGCAGTCGACCGCGATCAGACCCAGTCTCTTCTCAAACTCTTGTGCATGTTCGCGGTCGACCGCCGCAGTCGACCGTGGATCTATCAGGTCGTTTCCTTCGTAGTTTTGATTCCAGCTCTCGTCTCAACTTTGGGTCTACACTTTAGACTAATATTTTCATGTACTCCTTCAGCTGAACCATTGTTTCTATTAGACATCTTCTGCTGAATCAAGCTCCAAAGTTATGAAACAAAATTTGAGCTATTTTATGCAACAATATTTTTTTTTCTTTTCTAAAATGTTTTAATTTCATGTCCAGTAGTGAAATTTGAATCTGAACTCAACTGAACCGTTGTTTCTATTAAACCTCTTCTGCTGCATCAAAACCCTAAAGCTACATAAAAAATCTCAGAAGTTCTATGCAACAATACTTTTTCTTTTCTAAAATGTTCTAATTATGTGTCTAGTAAAATTTGAACCTGAATTGTTCTGACAGTTTTAACTCATGTCATTTTTAACACTAGGCCGTCAAAGAACAAGTTTTCGGTACCTCCACCAACAGCAATATCCCAACCATGTCCGGCTTCGTTGAACAAGCCCTCACAATCTCCGACGATCTCTCCACCGCCGTCATGAAGGGCTTCAACCCTAAATCCATCCCAGTGTTCACCAAACTCTCCCAAGAATTCGCGACTTTCGACAGGTGGTTCTCCTCCCTCCCGGGCCCCACGCAGCCCAACCGCCTCTTTGTCTACTCCGCCACCTCCCACGGTGCCACGAGCCACAACAAGTGGCATCTCGCCAAAGGGTATCCCCAGAAGACGATATTCGATTCATTACATGAAGATGGGCTGGATTTCAACGTGTACTTTGAGAATGCGCCAACGACGTTGTTCTATCGGAATATGAGGAAGTTGAAGTATGTGAGGAAGTTCCACAAGTATGGGACGTTCTTGGATCATGCTAGAGATGGCAGGCTTGCTAGCTTGAGTGTGATCGAACCTAGGTAATATTTGAAAAATTCTCCTAAATACAGTTTGATCATTCTAGTCGAATTTGTATGAAATTAACTTGGACATAAGACATCACAATGATACGTAGCGTCATGTAAACATGTGCATCAAAAACTTGATGATTGTTTAACTAAGAAAATGAAAATAAGGGATTAAAGTGTCACTTTAATTTGAAATCGTAGATGAATTTTCTGTCATTTTTACAGACTTAAAGTAGGAGAAATTTTCCCCATAGCATAAAGTATAAGTGTACACTCTTTATTATAGATTTGGATCCGAAAAAGTGAAGGTATAAACTATAGAGAAATATACTTTTTAGACATCAGGTGATCTGAAAGTTCAAAAAATAATGTACGGATAATAAGTGTCGGGCTAATCCCCCGTATATAGTTCCTTGGGTATATCTGCAATTGATCCTTTTTTGTATATAGTACCCTATTTGAGTTTCATGAACGAGATTTATGCTGATGGAGAAAATTTACCAGGTATTTTGATATGAAGGGAAAACCAGCAAATGATGATCACCCATCGCATGATATCGCCAACGGGCAGAAATTAGTGAAGGAAGTGTATGAAGCCTTGAGATCTAGCCCCCAATGGAATGAGAGCCTTCTTGTTATTACGTATGATGAGCATGGAGGATTTTATGATCATGTTGTGACTCCATACACTGGAATTCCGAACCCAGACGGGATTCTGGGCCAAGATAATTTCGGGTTTGATCGATTGGGTGTTCGGGTTCCAACGATTGTGGTCTCGCCTTGGATCAAGAGAGGAACAGGTAATGAGGTGAAATATTTTGGTTTTATTTTATGTCTATTGCAAAGTTAGTCAGGCACAAGATCAGTGTATAATTGTGTCAAACGGTTTTTTTTTTATGGTATGCAAAGTATAATATTTTTCTACAAGTTTCGACATTTACAGAGTCACACTAGATTTTGAATTTCTTCTGATTAATCTACTATATGAAACTGAAGATACGCTCAAATTCAAGTAGGCCAGCAAAACTCAGACTCGGATTGCTACAAACATGCGCGAGCACGAACATACATTTAGGAAACAATGAAGAAAGAAAGGGAAACTAATAGGCCATAAATCTTTCAACTTTGAAGTTCAATTTGATGTGCACATTCTACTTAATCTCACGTTTCATGGTCCTAAAAAAGCAAATATTGATTCTGTGATATTTATGATTTTGTGCCTCAGTTGTGAACAAGCCAAAAGGACCTGCGGAAAACTCAGAGTTCGAGCACTCTTCAATACCTGCAACGATAAAGAAGATGTTCAATCTCACCTCAGGCTTCTTGACACAAAGAGATGCTTGGGCTGGGACTTTTGAAGGAGTCGTTACTGAGCTAACTTCGCCTCGAACAGACTGTCCGTGTATGTATCATCTCCATCGCCTTTTTCGTTCATCTCTCCCTCCCAAAACGGTAGAACTATTACTATTTACTGCTCTTCATAAGTTTAAAATAGCTCAGCAGTACTACCTTATGTTCACAGGATAAATTATCTACTTTAAGATTTGTATAGCTCTTTGTTTCAGCTATTTGGTGGGTTTATGAAATGCACCAAATTGAGAAAAATGATACGATCATAGTGAAAGGCTAATTGGGGATAGACCCCTACAGTATCCTCCTTAGTCTTATTTTTGTAGATAAACCCCCTGAGTATATTTGCAATTAACTGTGTAATTAACCAAAGAAGTGAATTCATGTAGCTGATTGCAAAAAATAGGATAAAGGCTCCGTTTTTCTTGGTGTTTACGGACAGAATTAAAAATAAAAACTAAATTAGTCTTGCTTAACTTCTTACAGTGGTTTTACCGGATGTTCCTCCTCTGAGGACAACTCAAGCAGATGAAGACCGTTATGTTTCAGAGTTTCAAAGTGAGATAGTCGAGTTGGCTTCTACCCTCAACGGTGATCATTCGTTGAACATTGAAAGCCTTGAAACGAAAAGGAGAATGAAAGTAAAGGAAGCCGATGGGTATGTTGATCGTGCAATCTCTAGCTTCTTTAAGGCATGTGAAGAAGCCATCAGCATGGGCTTGGAGGAATCGACGATAGTGAACTTGGAAGCATCGGATACTACGACAGGAGCTCCATGATCCAATATTTTGCTTTTACTTGCTTATAATGCATGCAGGATTTCTCTTGATTTTTATTATATTTGGTTGATGGAGTATGTCAAAATGTAGAATAGTACTCTTATGTTGTGGAGTTTTTCTACGTAGCTAGACTTCTATGTAGTTTTTCTAGTTTATGTAGAAAAGAACTAACATCGGCAATGAATGGGTGTTGCAGTCTTTTGCTTAATACACTACAGGACTGGTACTTCCAGACTGCGTTGTGTGTATGTTTTCTGTTCTTTTCTTGACCTGAGGATTAATGCTATTACCATGATGTATTGATACGCATTATTGCATTTTCTGGGAATGGGGATCATTACCATGTCTAAAGATATAGGATTCTCCCTATGAACTTGTGTTGAATTCAGGTTGTTGTGCTCAGTAGCCAAAGTTTTACGTGGATAAGAATTCAGGTGGCTGTTTTTTCGTGCTACCTCATAGATTATATCATTGCTACTAATCAGATAGAGTTTTCTCAAAAATGAGCTTGAACTCTCTGTAGAATATATTCTAATCCTCCTTTTCAATTTTGATCTGTTTTTGCTTTTTGTTGCTAGACATTTGCGGAGAGATCAAGTCTACTGAAACTGAGTGATCGTCATCAGATTCTAACGAATTTCTCTTGCAAGGAGTAATGTTATCCGAGGAACAAATTTCAACTTCATTGTCACAAGTGACCGATAACGATGCCTGTGTTTCAGTATAGCATAATAATTAGCATGTTATTGAGGTGACAAGAAAAGATTGTTGTACAATTAATACGAAGAATCAAGAAATCAATAGTAAAGCGAAAAGAAATAGGCAATCCAAAGTGATAATGGTGAATGTTATCACAACAAAAGATACTACTCAAAAAGATATTAAAGAATACAAACATGAGGAATGAAAAAGAAAAGCAATACTAAGTGTATTGACTTACATTATCAAGATATTAAAGAATACAAACATGAGGAATGAAAAAGAAAAGCAATACTAAGTGTATTGACTTACATTATCAAGATCGTCTTTCTTTTTGTAAGATTCAGCTTCATTAGTGAAATAATCTTGACCTGTCGACTCCTAATGATTTAGAAGAAAAAATTATTAATAATTATATATATATATATATATATATACGCAGATTGATACATGAAATGAATAGATATGTAGCTCTATAAAAGAAGGAAATATGTAATGTACCTGGTTCAAATCTAAGTTGTCTCTGAAAGATGCTATCGGTTTTTCATCATCAGTCATTTTAGAGACAGAAAGTACAGGCTAATTTTGATTAAGATTGAATTCTGAAACTTGTATCTTGAACAGAAATTTCTTTTTCACCAACACATCTAACTCTTGAGGAAATGAATCATCATCACCTTCCTGTGAACAATATAAAGAAGCAAAGTAAAGCTATTGAAATAAAACTTTTAATTTTTATAGAAAGGAATCAGAGTGATTACTTTTCTCAGTCGTTCCCTCAATTCGACTGCAGATTTGTGAATAACTTGTTTAGCTTCACGATCAAATAGAACAAATGATGTAGTACATGTATGGTCAATAACTAAAACCTGAACCCTGTACCTGATAAAACACACAAATTAAAATAAACCAATAAGAACTGTGATCTAAAGTGTACGTTGAAGATCTAGACATCCATTCATGAAGCATATGATGAAATATAACTTGTGAAGAAAATGACATACATACTTCCACACATACCTTGGGATAACAAATCTTGCGTTTTCATTGCACTTCTCACACCAAAATTTACCATTTTCAGCATTTACCTTCCTCTGACATTTTTTGTAGGCATTGTAAAACCAATTGTAATCTGTTTGAATTTTCTCTATAGTTGATAATGTCACACATGTCCAAACCTGAGTATCATTAAATAGTAAGAAAATAAAGTTATGAATAATTTGGTAGAAAATTATTGATTGTCTTCAGGTTAGTTATCTAGTTTGCCATTAAACCCACATTTTAAATAAGTAGTGCAATATCAATAAAGTCATTTCTTCAAAATAATTACCTCTCGTGCCTCTCGAATTTCATCAAGTGTCTTCCGTTCAGTTAATAACAAAAAATCATCCTCGATGGAATAAGCTTTTTTAGTTGGAATCTGACTAAGTTGTTGAGACGAAGAGCCTTCCACAAGTTTCAGACTTATGATAGTAAAATTAAAATAATTAGAAATAATATGAAATTACTTGTAAAATAACTAAGGAATGAGATAATTCATCATGTACCTTTTTCTTAGATCAGCAACTCATGTCGGGATTGATTAATATCTTGGACGCATATAAGGCATTTATAATAATATTTTTTACCTAAGAAATAAAGTTTTTAAATTCATGATTATGTCAATATATAAGCATAATCGACGAAATAAAAATATATCTTTTTTGAGAAATACATGTAATTGGATTTACCTCCATATGGTTTTATCTTTGCAAGCTGAATCACCATTATAATAATTTTTGAATTATCTTTCTGTACATACTGCGAAACTTGAACAGCGTAATCACCCCACAAACTGCATTGCAGTTTAATGTTGTTGTAAGCAAGAAAAAATTTAGTACGGAATGCATATACACACACTCACATGCACACACATACTTTTACTGTAAAAAATATGTAACTATATTATACATATTTGAACTCACTTGCTATTTTGGAGTTCAAGCTCCAGTAATTTTCTTTTACTTCCATTGCTCTCAACTTCTTTTACATTTCCAATAGTAATCAGTTCTCCAATGATATCTGAAAAATGTCATATAATATAAAAAATGAATAAAAAGCCCATAAGTATCAAATATATTAAAAAATAGTATTGAAATAAAAAAAACAATAAGCAAAACTTAAAATTATTTTAAAATTCTTGACTTTTTATCTTACCTATTAAGGTAGTTGAGGTGATACGATTAGCAATATATTATATCCCCAAAATCAACTAATCCAAATGAATATGAAGGTATTGTACAACTCTTGCATTCTCTAACAAAAGTAGAGTAGAGGAAGTTAATTCTATATGCGTGATCAATAGCTCTATAATTTCTAGTATTTTCTCCAACACCAAAATTCGTAATCAGATAGCAGCTGCCTTCATTCAATAGTGATTTGAATTTATCTATCAATTTATTCTTGATCGTTGCTTGAATTTTGGCTCCCTTTCATAAAAAAAGAGAAATTCATGAATGTATAATCTTAAACTATTCACATTAAAGGAAAATAATAACTGAACTGAAAAACAGATTATGAAAGAGTGAAAAACATTACCTTTTCATCCAGTAAAAGCAACTCAATAGTGTTGATTACATTCGGAATATTGACAGAGAACGTATCTGACAGAGAAGCCTATCATGGATTTAATAAATTTTACAACATGCCAACAATTTGATAGACCTATTTGTTCGCACATTCATCTCGTGGAAAAGATGAAGAAAAAGGAAACTCCTCGGTTTCCACAAAACCCAGAATGCCGGTTTGTGGCTAAGAAATCCTAGCACGTATTTTATGCAGTTGAAGCTCAGTAGCTCATGCAACAGAATAATATTCCTCGTCCAATCTCCAAAAATTTTGTGAGTGAAGAAAAGACATATTAGTATAATCACGCATATTTCAGGCGTGGATGGCTATGTTTATGAACAGAGACAAAAAACATGCACCCGCAAACACGCGCGCACACACACATGGACACACTTAACATACACTAGACAAAGCAGAGAACAGGCCTATGGAAACTTCTAAGAAAATTTATCATTATTGTAGTTCTCTATTATAATTTATAACTTTGTATAACAGGAATACACCCCCCCCAGTGTTAATACCATGAAAGGTTAAATGTAACTAATTCATCCTTTCTATAATTTCTAGACTGGCTTGCAGACATTTTAAATTAGCTAATAAACTTGGTTAATGTTTTGAATTATGCTTTAACGGCTAGGTATTTTTTTCAGACATGCCCATTTCAGTCAAGTACTACCAAATTCTCACATTTCATTATCACCAACAGTTGAGTTATGGAAGGTTGTACACATTGTCAGTATTAAAAGATTCATAATTAGTCCAGAGTCTCATAAAAGATATGTGCTCATGTCACGCTGTTTGCTGTGTGCATTACTATTGAATTTTAGCATATATGTGATCACACACATAGCGCATTAATAAGCTTATTCATCTCATATTTGTTAAGACACGATAGTCTATAAGGATATTATTCAGATATCTGGAATAATTCCTGAACCTTAAGATCTGGATGGGGATATTCAAGAATTTCACATTTGTGTCTAGACAGGCCAAGCGTCCGTATTTAGCATACACATATTGCATATATGTATGGAAGTATTGGATTCTTTGTATTTGTTGGGTTCGAGTCATGTACAACCAAGTTGTCAAATTGATACTTCTGTACAAGCAGGTGATCACACACAGGACAAGTTGTCATATTACAGTTTTAGTATTGTTGGAAGTTCCAACCAATATAAGCATATCAAAAGTGGACATGAATCCACAAAAATTGCTCATTTTTCCTCTCTATGTATTATGCACTATAGTGAATGGGTTAATTACGAAGTCGGAGAAGAAAAAATAATGATAAACTCAGCTTTATGTTTGATACTACTGGTGCACAGTCAAATTGATCAGCTAAGCGCACCATAACAAATACAAAAATTGAAAATACATCACCCAAATAAAGATAATAATGACCATAAGGCAATTCTTGTTTATTCTCTAATAATTGCATTTAAAAAAAGAATTGCATTGCTTCAACTGAGCTGTAAATATTTTTTTACATGGACACACTTAACGTAGGATAAAGTGTTTTATTATAGGATGCAATTCATTCATTCCTAGCCATGTCAACTGCATCCTGGCAACAACAACTTGCTCAGTTCGTAGCCAATGTCTAATGTGCTTTTATCTTAGATCAGTCAAGTACTACTACAACCTGTTGTAAGCAAACTCTAAATTGTTGGCGATTCTTTAGTAAATATACCATAGTTGTTACTTCTATCTTTTTGGTCTGCAGGAAACAATGAGATGGGTCAGTCTGACTAAAATCTCAGTCTGATCAAAATCAACAACACCATATAAATATCTTATGAAAGAGTTGACACAATGATCTCCTTCAGAAGTCAGATTCCCCACTTTCACATTGTCAGGTACATCCCTTGCTATCATTCTGATGTCTTGAGCTTCAGTTGTTAGATTAACAGAGACTCATCAATTATAATATTTTAAGAATGATCACCGTCAAAGAGCACATTTCCAAACAATTTAAAAAGTTTAAAATACAGGATCATGATATCATATAATTAGCATCTGTAGATCAAGAAAGCTCTTGTAAAATCAATTTATCATGCAAAAGCAGATTGATATAGATTCATACAAGACACATTGTCGGTTCTTGCTCACGCTTACTATAACCAAATTGTCACAATCAAATTTTTATCCTTAAGGTATGTCATATTGAGTACCAAAAGGCTCATCAATTTATCAAATTTCACAATATATGATAAAAATTTTGATGAAAGTAAATATGACAACATCGGTAACAGTTTTTGAGGGTTTCAGTAAACCGACCTGTCGACCGCGAGTGACGCCGACGACCTTCGCCTCCAGTGACGCCGTCGACCAATTTCAGTCTTCACCAGGGGTTTTGTTGATAGTTTTCTGTAGAAATAAGGGAGGTGGGGATGAGAATCTGAGGCTTTCTATATATGTGTATCATCCTTCGACGACGCTTGGGTGATCGAGGCATAGCACGAGTTCTCTAGGCGACGGAGTCGAACAGACGATATGGGGAGTTGAAGGTGATTTCCGAGATCCAAGGAAACGAAGAGGCGATCTTGGGAAATGAAGAACGGGAGAAAGAACCGCAATGAGTGAAAGGAGATATTGGGAATTGAAGAAAGGGTAAAACTGTGACGCCCCTGGGTTCACACAAGGCTGCAGTCTAAGGTGAAATCAAGAATGTCAAACCTGCCATACACCACACCGTGCAATAACATGTTTGACCATCACAATTAACATCTATCTAGTAGAATCAACAATAGGTGTAGGTACAAAAACAAGTAAAAGATAGTGCAAGAAGTAACTGATGAAGTGATAGTGATCACATTAATATCCCATCATCCATCATACAGAAATACATAGTCAATATCCGAATAGATAACTGAAATACTCAACAAGTCTCAAATACAAATATCCGACAAGAGGAAATAAGACACACGGCCTTTACAACTTCTAGAATAAGATTCTCAAATGTCTAAACAAAACTACAGTGGAGCTCCAAAATAAAACATAGCTAAAATAGACAGCTGAACACTAAATTGTGTCGCCATCAACCTGCAACTCTCCGGGCTCCTGGCTCGTTATCTGAAAGGGGGAGGGACAACGAGCGTCAAAGCGCTAGCGAGCAACATCACAACCAACCCCAAGGGAACAAGGCTCGTTGTATAAGAAAATACAGTTAATACATAATAGATCTAAAATCATTGATCTTACTAAAGAGGATTTTAGTATTTAGAAATTTACAACACGAGCATAGGTACGTCGAGCGAAATAATCCAAACAAGGAAACCCTCATGTATATACCTTGTATCTCAAATTGTAAATCCCTAAACACTAAACCCGAGGTTCTAGTAAAGGAAACAATAATAAAAGAAATACAACCAATCTCAGAGCATAAGTACAGTGCCATGTCATAGCCTACATGACATGTATGTCATGTTATAATCTACATAAGTGTCATGTCATAAACTCCTGTGAGAAAGTCATATACAGGGTTAAGAAAATATGTCCGATACAGGAACTAAATACTGTGGTTTCCAAACACATGGAATAAGTGGCAAATGTCCAACACAAGGACTGAAATGGATTATAGTCCAACACGAGGACTTCTATGGATTATAGTCCAACACGAGGACTGTGTAACTGAAAAGTATATGCAGACAGATATACATAATCTAAACTTGCACGCATCTCGGTGTACATGTCTAAACTTGTGTCAAAAGTCAACCCACATGTACAGATAAGTCATTAACATGATAATCTAGGGTCAGGTTATCGAGGCGACCCCGAAAGACAACTCAAACAGATCAAAAATATGTAAAACAGCTCATCAGTCGACTGATGTGTCGACTGATGACGTCAGTCGACTCATATGTCGACTGATGAGGCTCAGGCAGCACAGCCTCAGCTCACTAGTCGACTGACTAGTCGACTGAGAAGCTGAGAAAAACAAAACCAGCCCGCAGTCGACTGATCAGTCGACTGATGGCTGAAAATTTGCCCGTCGGTCGACTGATCAGTCGACCGATAAGCTGCAGAAACTCTGCACAGGTTATTTTTCACCCAAACTTTGATCCAAACTCATCTCCCTCAATCACAAGCATGAAAAATACTGATATCAACATATTTGCACTAAACTGGAATGAAAGATCACATATAAACATTTATCAAAAATCCTTAAACACATAAAAACATGTTTAATACGTTTTGAAATCAATAAATCATGAAATAACTCTTGTCAAACGTTTTTCAGATCTGGATCCCTTTAGTAAAACATTGTTGGTCTTTTTATAAACTGAGATGCTCAATACCTCACCTCATATGCCATAAAGATTTGTTCTTTGTACTAAAAATACGTTTTTGGCTAAATCAAAACTCATTAAACTCAATAAATTCATGTAAAAACAAAAGGAACAGAGTTGGGCGAGATGTTACTCGCCTCTGGGTGATGAACAACTCCTAGGTCTGAGAGAGTGTGGATCCCCTTGCTGCAATGTGAAGATTTCGCCGAAAATCCTCCAAGTTCTTCCCCAAATCACCGAAAGCAAGGCTAGGGTTTGAGATAGGGGAGAGGGGGCTAGGGTTTTCTCAGTTCTGAAGGTGAGAGGGGTGATTTCGGGTGAGAGGGTATATATACCAAGAGTTAAACCTGACCCAAACCCGAACCAAAATCAAAACAGACCCGAAACCTGAAAAACTGGAAATCAGCGTATCAGTCGACTGATGTGTCGACTGATAATCAGCGTATCAGTCGACTGATGTGTCGACTGATACAGTCAGTTGACTGATGTGTCGACTGATCTGGAAAATTTTTGTTTTTGTGCATGTTTTACTTATTTGCAAAACCAACGCACAAAACTCTACACCCATACTCTCATATCATCTCAAATAACTTGTTATCATGTACATCAATGACCTCAAGCTATTTATCATAAAAGAATTATTTATTTACTAATAATTCACATATAAAAACAAATAATGGGGGGGGGGGAATTGTTAAGAGTGAGGAGAGAAGAACGAAGCGGCAGAGCTAAGAACAAAGCGTCAGAGCTTTGGAATCTGAGGTGGCGGAGCTAAGAACAAAGCGCCAGAGCTTTGGAATCTGGAGTGGCGGAGAGAAGAAAGAAGCTTTTATTGGAATAGAGATTGTGCCAGGTGGCGTTTTCAATGGTATTGGTCATTTTTGCCAAGTGATGTTTTCAAAGGTAACTGTGTTTAGTAATAGGATATAGATGCTAAAAAAAAGGGCCCGGTGCGCATGGTGCACACTAGGAATGATAATAGTAAGTATAAGTATCTATATAATTGTGTTTAGTAATAGGATATAGATGCTAAAAAAAAGGGCCCGGTGCGCATGGTGCACACTAGGAATGATAGAGCTTTGCTACAGGGACCCAAAATATGGGACCAATAGAGGGGACAAGTGAGGTGTCCCCCTCATATTGGATAATGAGTTGACCATCATTAATGATGGCCAACTCATTATCCAATAGGAGGGGGACACCTCACTTGTCCTCCTTATTGGTCCCATATTTTGGGTCCTTGAAGAATTTTTCGGAATGATAATAGTAAGTATAAGTATCTATATAACTGTGTTTAGTAATAGGATATAGATGCTTAAAAAAAAGGGCCCGGTGCGCATGGTGCACACTAGGAATGATAATAGTAAGTATAAGTATCTATATAATAAGTTGACGGTTAGGATTCATTTCTGAGCAACCAACAGTTATCCTCGAAGATGGCTGCTGCCTCGATTCCCACTGCTCAAAGATTCCGCCTCAGTCATTTAGACCTATTGACATCATTCCCTTCACCAAAGCTGAAATCTTTATCACGCTCTCTCCGATTTGATTTCGCCTCCAATCCCAGGTGAGCACTTCTCTATCTTTTTGATAATTTCACATTTTTTTGTGATTATAATCATTAGATAATGAAAATTGCTTCATGGGTTCAAGAAATTTCTTCATTGTTTCTTTCCATCAATTTGACTGCGCCATTGTAGCTGGCTTTATCTAAGATTAGCAGGATGTGATAGTAATGGTTTCTCTCTGCGCCGCCCCACGCCGCTAACACCCCGCCCCCGCGCCCGTAGTACCAAATGAACATTTTTATTTACATTAGCGAACTGGGTATCTTGGAAATTACTAATTTATTTTTTTGCAGGGGGAACGGTTGATCTTGTATTTATTTTATAATCCTAGATTTACCTGTGATTTTTTATTTTGGCTCTGCTAACACTTACAAAGCAACTTGACTTTGCAATTACCTTCAATAGATCTTAAAATGTATTTGAAGAAAGTTAATGAAAGGTTCTTATCTGTATGATGAAAAATATCATTTGTGAAAATTGCAAGGACTTGTCACATTCTTTCATAGTTTAGCTCTGAATTAGAGAGATTAGGGAATAACTTCAGTTGATAAATTTCTACGGCTTTTCAGTTCTAGCTTATGCATCAACAATGGTCTGTTATATTTACAAATTACAAGCTTGTTTCCTGTGTTTCCTTAATATACAAGTACATATTTGATTAATGAAATCAGATTTAAGTGCTTGTTTTGCATCAAACCATTTAACTGATCAATTATTTTCCTTTATTGTCTTAGAAGGGAAAGGCTCCATGAGAAAGAGATACATTTTCCTCATGATATGTTGTTGTTGTCGTTGTTTTTGTCATTATTCCCTTTTTTTTCTTTGTGAGTAGCATGGAGATGGTGAAATTCCACAGAGCAATTTATTTCTAGTCTAATTATTGATAGAATACTAGTGTAGAGAAATTAGCAAACGAGGAGGTATGAAAGGTCACAATCTGGAGGACCGGGGATACAAATCCGAGAGATGATTGGTTATTTTGGCAAAAACTCTTTTTTAAACACAATAAGAGGGAGAAGAGAAAGAAGCAACTTCTATAGCTTCTTTAAGACGATAAATAATTAGGAGCCATTATCTGTATACTGGTGGACCAAAGTCCATGCTTTTCTGTTAATTCATCATTCATGGTGGCATTCCTTAAGGAGCATGCTTTGAACTCTCAAGTCTCTTGTCCAACAAACACTGAAAAAGAGAATTTTACAAAAAAAGGAACTACACTGAAAATCAGCTTAGAGCATCTCCAACAGCTTCCCCATCTTCTTGAAATACTCAATTTTAGGGAATATAGAGCTTTTTTTGGTCCAACAGATTCCCCATCTCATTCCCTAAAATAGGGAAGAAGGAGAAAAAATAGGGAGCCTTCCCCAAATCTGCAGCATTCTCCAAATTTTTGGGGAGAGCTTTATTATTGTAATAAATGCAATTTTTCAAAATGGGGAAGCTGTTGGAGTTGGAGCAAAAATAATTTGGAGAATATGACTTTTGTTTCTCCATTTTGGAGAAAATTTTGGGGAAGCTGTTGGAGATGCTCTTAAAATTGATCTGGTTCTTTTGGACCCTCAGATGCTCATTACTAAATTGGATGCCAATACTCTTAGAGCAGGCTAACATGTCCAAAAGGGAAAAAGTGTGTACTTCGGTACTTCCTAATCTAAAATTAAATTACACAAATCTGCGATCGTAGTCAAAGATGGAGGGGTTTAGGCAACAGGAGGAAGATGATAGGAAGAAATGCTATGGTTATGAATGATTCATCAGGTCATTAATCAGGTCACTGGAAGCTCTAACAATGAAGGCTAAATTTATTTTTTCCTCTGTTATATCTTGAATACAATAAAACTGTAGGCATTGAGAATTTGCTCTTCTTCTGTAGATATCTGTGAAACTCAATATTCTTTGCTTTTCTGAATACTATTTATTTAACTTACAATAACAGCTGCTGCCCTGAATCAGGCTGTCCTTATTTTCAAAGGGTATTTCATGAATATGATTTCAGCAGTAGGGTCTACTACACTTTTATTATTTTATGTAAGCCCTGAAAAAGTTGGATTATAACATAATATGATGGAAAAAAAACCCTTCTCTCCATTGTATAAGGTTTTGGTCACTTACGTCAATTAAGCTTGCATGTTGTTACTGATTTATGCTTCTTAGTATAATCAACATGTCCTTTACTATCTCATATAGATTTTTGGTTTGAAGTAAAATAAAAAAATGCAATCTCTTTTCTTGCTTTCTTCTCTCTGTGCAAATTAGTCAGGTATTAGCTAGCATACCAGCTATGCAAGCAACTGTACCCATGCTATCAAAAGAATCTCCAATGGGAGTTGATGCAACAACTGTGGAAGAATATGCTTCCCAGGCTAAACTGCTTCAAGAATTTTCTAATATACCTACTATTAATAAAGCATGGATTTTCAAGTCGGGTACCGGTGTGCTCCTTTCCCCAGTGTACTATTATTTTTGAGACTACTGTGCTCATTTTTTTGTTACTGACATTACTATGCTCTAATCTCTGTGGTTCCAGAAGAAAGTTCCCGTGCAATGTTCTCTTTTAGTCAACCCAATATTGTGGCAAACAAAAAGAGGACATTTATTCACTCTTCTCATATTTCAAAGACTCGTGATCTTTCTGTGAGCTTCGAGTGGTCCCCCTTTCCTATTCAAATGGATGGTGTTTCTACACTTGTTCCATCACCATCAGGTACAAAGCTTCTTGTAGTTCGCAATAAAGAGGATGAATCCCCAACAGTGCTTGAAATATGGGGTCAATATCAGTTGGAGAAAGAAATACATATTCCACAATCTGTGCACGGCTCGATATATACTGATGAATGGTATGTTGTTACTTGGCCTGCAATAATATATATTGTTATAAAGACCATGTATATTGTCCCTAACGTCGAAGTGACTGCCTTGTATATGAATTTGATTTACTTTGACAAGATCAAATTTGATATTTTAGTAATGTTGGAGAGAACTTCTTTCCATCAGCAGCTGAAATACAGTATTATCCTAATTAGTCATTTTATAGGTTTGGCAGAATTGCATGGAACCATGAAGAAAATTTAATTGCATATGTTGCTGAGGAGCCAGTTCCATCGAAACCTGTATTTAATGACTTAGGTTACAAGAAAGAGGGTTCTGCAGATAAAGACTATGGTAGTTGGAAAGGCCAAGGAGATTGGGAAGAGCATTGGGGCGAAACCTATGCAAAGAAAAGGAAGCCTTCCCTATTTGTTGTCAACACTACTAGGTCTATATTTGTATATACTAATTGTAAATGTTTTTAGTCAATATCATTAAATAACAGGTCAAACTAACAAATTTCACTTTTACATTTTTGTACTTGCAGTGGAGAAGCTCAGCCAGTTAAGGGCATTCCAAAGTCCTTAAGCGCTGGGCAAGTCATTTGGGCTCCATCTACTTCAAGTGGGTCCAATGGTTACTTGGTCTTTGTTGGGTGGTTATCAGAAAATGGTCCACAGCAAACTCCAAGAAAGCTGGGCATAAAATATTGCTATAACAGGCCTTGTGCCTTATATGCAATCAAGGCCCCCTTTCATGAATCAAATACCACGGAAATGCCATTCAAGTAAATCTAATCAACCAACTACCATGATAATTCTGAATGTCAGTCTCCAGGCCTTAGGTGGTTTTACTATATGTACTAATTTTTTATGTTTTTGACATGTCTCAGTGCCGATGAAGTGAAAGATAATGAAAAGGCGGTCAATTTAACTCAAGCACTGAGTAGTGCTTTCTTCCCACAATTTAGGTAATGTTCTTTTCTTAATGATCTGGAAATATTAGTGCATGCTTTATATCTGTCAAATAAAAGTCCACAACTGTTTGTTGCACTGAACACCTTAAATCATTCATGACTCAGGTAATTAACTACATTGCATTGTGATTTTAATTGCTGATTTTGCAAGTCCAACAATATATAATTGAAGACGTAATCAGCCCTCCTGCAGGGCGTGCACAAATCACTCTTGTTTTGAAGTGTGCACCAGGTTCATGTTGCATTATCTCGTTTGAGTAACATAACCCATAAAATTCAAAGAATTGTAAACTTTGTTCTATACCAAGGGCTTGTTTGGCAAATCTCTCCAAATTGGGTCAGCCTGGTTTTATTTTTTAACCAGGCTAGAATTGAACCAGGTTGGGGCTGGTTCGATTTTAGCCTCGTTAAAAGGCTCCAAAATGAACTAAAAACAGTTGGTCTAGCCTTGGCCCAACTTTTCCAAATCACAAAAAGATATTAAAACTAGGCCAGGTTTGAACCTGGCCCAGTTTTAGTGTGCCAAACAAGGCCTAAGAAATGACTCTTAAGTTAATGTAACTAGTTATGCCAGTCACTGGTAGCTGGTTTCCATAAGTTTGCTGAGTCTGGTTTATTTTCTCAATATATACTTGTGGTTTGCACATGTGAGTAGGTAGGTCTATCAACTGCCTATGAGAAATCAAAGCTTTAAGTAGGAGAATACCCTAAACAGCCATAACTCTGCCTCTAAGCTTTGGAAAATGTAGATTTTTCCTGCCGTCTTCCATAATTTTTACTAGTCTGTCAAAGATAAATCTATCGACTCGTAACCATTAACAGGCTCTTTAAGGCCTCGTCGTTAACCTTCTGCAGGTGTTGTATTCTCTACAAATGTTGCAAATCAAGCGCCATCACCAGTTTCCTTCAACCCTGTCTGTTGATAACTTTGGTTATACATTTTAGATGATATGCCTGATGCGACTCTAAAGTGATTAGTCTTAATGCTAAAACTAAACACTTGGGAAGGCATTACAAAAGAAGGGATACACTGATACAGTAATAAAACTTTAGAGGGAAATATAATTGAAATAATATCAATGGAGGCCTCAAGAAATTCACAGAGAAGAATGAAAGATTGGTGCATGCATCTTAAATATCATCATAACAGGACATGCCATGCATATTTCAGTGTTACATTCTTTAAAATGGATAAATATCTTCTGATATCTATGTCGGTAAAATCTTGCATGGCTTAGAATGCTTAGCAATATATGCAGAATCATTCTATGGTTGTGCCCCCAGAAGATTATGAATATTAAGCCTCAGGACCTTTAAAATAGATAAATATCTTTCGACACTTATATTGGTAAAATTTTTTGCATGGCTTAGAATGTTTAGCAATATATTTATAATCATTTTGTGGCTGTGCCCTCGGTAGACTATGAATGTATAACTCTGGAACGCTCATGAAACGTTCCTATAGATTTTATAGAGATGAAATTTTAATATAGCCTTGCCACAATATTGGAGTTTTTTGAGGTATCTATAAGGTATCTATGGAGAGGTATCCATGCTTGTTTACACTAGAGGATAACCAGATCTTTAGACACCTATGTGGCACTTGTAATTTTTGAGAAAGAACTGAAAGGACTAATCCATAATAAATACAGTTCCATGAGATAGGTAAGGGCTTTCATTATTATTTGTATGCCCTCATAGTGTCATGAACCTTCGGGATGCATAATACTAGCCGTGGATATTTTTAGCATGTCACATGTTATGTTAATTATAGAAAGTTGGTGTTTGATTCAAGATTGGGGTTTGCTTACTGTGCATTTGCATTTCGTTGTGGCTATTTGATTTATTTATTCCATACTTGATCAGTGATTGTTAACTTTTGTTAACTTATTGAAACTAATTTTTAAGTGTTCAATTTATTTTCTACCATGCAAATTCTTTTATGAAGTTAATTCTTTACAACTTACTATCAAGTTACTTGATTGCATAATTCTAATTGTTGTGTTAGATATGCAACATTTTCATGGGCATCCTATCAAGGATATACTAGAGCAAATTTGTGCTGTTTTTTTAGTCTGACTGGAATAAAACTGTTGTGTTACAGTCCAGATGGAAGAACTCTCGTATTTCTATCTGTGAAAAGCGCAGTTGATAGTGGAGCACATTCAGCCACAAATTCACTTCATAAGTTGGAGTGGCCTGCTGATGGAAAACCTGACACATCTAGTAGAATCATAGATGTGGTAAGCTCCTGTCTGAATTTACAAAAAACTTCAGGTGAAGTGCCAGGATTTACCCTGAGCGGGATGTTCTTGGATATCAACATGCACTTACTAAACTGTGTCCTCAATTATGTTATACATGTTTTTATTTAGAACACTTTTGTTCACTTCTTTGACACATTCCACACGTTTCATACACTTCTTTATTCATATTACTATAGTCAAAAAGCAAGCATCATAACATTGACTTTTAAAAAACTAAATTCAAATATGTCTAGCAATCTATAAAAAAATCAGGTCATATTCCTTGTGTAAAGTACCAAAATTTCATACATTTATTGGTTACATGTATTATTAGAAATATTTGTTTAGGCTCTTGGATGTATAAACATGTGCATGTATATGCTTGTATATAAACTCCCTCTTTATACACTCACACGCACTCAGACACGCGCACACACCCTCAACCACACGCCCATGTGCACGAGCATGCCCCCACTACTGCACACCCACACACACACATCCTTGCAAAGTTTTAATTATCGGATATCGGGGAAATATCAGATGGCCAAAATCCATATTGGATTGCGGATGCTTGGGAAATTTCTAAATATCGAAGTGTCATACTAAATGTTATGTACATATATCATATAATATAATGTCCTAGAGTGTAATCTAGACATAACTAATGAAATCTAAGCGTACGAAAACATAAATACTATATATTTAGAATCACTAATAAATCGTAGAAACTTACTTAGGGAAAAGAGCCTTCTAGAATCTTGCTAAAAAACTTCATAAGACTGGAATTTTACTAAAAAACTTCATATTGTTTGCCAGCAAGCCACATAAAAGGACATTTGAACATATCAGTTGATATATTGGCCATGTTGGGGATATATCTCCATCTATGACAAAAAAACAGTACAATATATTGCAACCGTGTCATTTTGTGGCAAGCCTTATAAAAGGATATATCAGCCAATATATCACCTATATTGGGGATATTTAAACTCTATTCCACTTAGGATACTATACTTAGCATACCATCTAAAACTAAAAGAACCCTGTATACAACACGCACGCACGCACGCATCCGTATCCATTCTACTTAGCATACCATGTGAGCGTAAAAGAACCCTTTATACACACGCATGCAGATAGATATTTCCTAGAAACATAATCAAGCAAAACAATGAATTTTAAGCCCTAGTTTTCTAGGTATTTTGTGCACTTAAATAAGTAAATCAAACTTAATTTTCCCTCATTCGTTTTACATATATGTCTCTTAGAAATCTGTAGGTTTTCATATGTAAGTAGTACAAAGCCAGAAGCCAGTAGTACAGAAATATCCATTTGATGAAAGCTCTAAGATTTTGCAGGTCATTTATTTGCGTAAATATGAGAAAGTTAAAACTATGGAGGATTTCTTCGACCCGATTATGGAGGATTTCTTTGACTCAATTCGTGCGGTCACCCCTACTGCTGGCTTACCTTGAGTTTGCCTTGGAAATAAACTTTCCTGAACAGTGTCTGATCTTGCATTTTGAGTAGTTGTTTTCTAGAAATTTAAGTGTATTGTAACCATGCTGTGATGGTTCATTCTTTCTACCATCTTTACTCCCATGCTTGCATTGGCTTCTCAATCTTTCTTGCCCTCTTGTTGAAATCATGAGTCTCAGCTATGTGCATCCTACACTGCCAATGATTCCTTCTGGAAGCACAATTCAACCTGCATAATGTAGTATCCAACCCTCTTTTAGTTCCATTGCTTTGTGGGGATTCTGATCTAAACTCCTAAACTTCTTTTTTAACTGTTAAGCTAATTTGAAGAGATCATTTTATTTAATTAAGCTAACTTAAACAATCCCTTCAGAATCATTCTCAATTATGCATATATAAATTGGGGTTTTGGGTCAAAGTTGCTAGTTTTCATGAGAAATGTTTCTGTCCTGCATTTATCTCAAATTAAAGTACTTATTTTTATTTATTCCAGAACTCCACAATAAGGTTTGTATTACCTAATAATAATCTAATTATGCTACTAATTTCTATTGAGTATTGAGTGCTGAAAGAAGAATTTAGATGGCCATGGGAGATTATTGTCTTTTTGGTATCTATATACTACATGTTTTTTGAATATTCAGATTACATTTCCACTTTTTTTGTTACATCTTTATATATTTTCCTTACAGTTAGAGGACCCTACTTACTATTTTACCTATTGTATCTTGAACTATTTTTACTTTTTTTAATTAATATTTTAGAGTACTTGTAGGAGAACTAAATGCCTCTTAGTCACGTGTTGTAAAAAGAGGCAAAAATCGGCGTCTAAGCAGCCGCTTAAGTGTTTTGGGCTCTTAACCGATTTCTACTCGAAAAAGCTTGCCCAAAATCTGATGCGGCACTAAAAGAGGCCGAAAAGGGGCCACTAAACAGGAAAGTGGTCCGAAAGTGGCCATCAAAAGCTGTCCCTTTAATTATTTATGTTGACTTTTTTGATGTACACAGTACATTACATGTTAGTTTATCACAATTTAATAGGCAGTATGTTGTTATTATTGCGTGAATGGATCTAAGTATTGTCACATCTACACGCTTAGGATCTCTGTAAGTTATCACATATTCATTTGTAGAATTTTTTTTTCCTAAACTTTTTGCTTTTATAATTTAAAAATGTTTTCTTATTTTTTCTTATATATTTCAACTTTTGTCCCTATTTTAAAATAAAAAAAAGGAAAAATTGATTTGGCCTTTTTCCGCTTAAGTCCGCGAAGGCCTAAGCGGCACCTTGCCGCTTTGCTCAGCTTTCCGCTTTCCACTTTCCACAACCTTCCTCTTAGTTAGTTGACTAGCTCTATGCTTTATATATTTATGTCCTTTTTTTTTCCTAAGGTGCACGAAGGTAATGGTGTTTTGTGTGTTAATTTAATTTTCAGATGTCGAGCCAAACAGTGTTCATCTGTAGAAGTCAATTTCCATTTTAAAGTGTCTATGGCTGCATATTCATCAGAAAGTTATTTTTCCTATTTTTTTAAAATACAATGTTTGAAACTATGTTTTTTTTAACATCCAGTTCTTGGAAACTATGAAAGTGGAAGTTTCCAAGCAGAACACTGATGACTGGTCCTATGATACACTTTTACTTTTCAGGCATTAAACATAAAAGTTCAGTGCAAGCTCTCCCATTAGAACAACACATTTCTAGACCATGATTTTACCAATCATTTTAACCCACTGGAATAATTAATTTCATTAATTTATTTGGAATAACTAATTCCTGGATAAGAGGAATTTGGTCAGGGACAAAGTTGTTTGAAGATAAAGATGAAGAGGGCCATGTGCAAAAAAATTATATTTAGTGGGGATAAAATGCTGTTATTGACTGGATTAGACATAGATGTGGGAATAAAAGAAAAAAGGTCAGAGAAGGTGAATTTTGATAAGGTTGCACTCTTCATATTTTGGTGAAAAGGGAGGTCAAGATGATGAGTTCCTATGTTACTGGAGGCGAGAGACACCAACAAAGGCGATCGACTGAGTGAACCAAGGCAACAAATATACAAAAAATTTATAAACAGTACAAATAATCTGCAAATGAACACAATATCATTAAGTCGTAACAGAACAAATTAATCACAGTCGAATTTTCAAATTCACAAACAAGTCATTTAACCATCTAAATAATGTAGTAACAATAGTGATACTAACTACCAACATAGGTAATTAAGGTGCAAATTGTGGCATGCCTCTGGGTTCCGGTAGGCGATTATAAAGAGAAAATGAATAGTAAAGGGGTGAAAGGAGGAAGGTGAGATCACATTTATCTGGACTGGCAGAAAGGGATCCTGGTTAATTGGCATAAGTGAGGTAAATGGAGGATTAATGAGCTTCCATAATATTCATTCAATTAGTTGAAAGCTTGCAGTTAATGAAGTCTTAAGTATGGTGGATTTGGAATCGACGATGTAAAATTGTAGTTCTGGATTAAGGCTCAGGAAAAGGGAGTTTTCAAGCCACAACTTTTACACGTGTGTTTGAAAGAATTGATTACTTGCTTTCTATAACCAATAGCAAGTCAATACATAACCAATGTTGTTTTTTATAATCGCTGCCTAATAGAATTTTCTGGGAAGTTGTAATGTTACATACAAACCATAGTCACTGCTAGCGAACCACATTGATAAGATCTTTCTGGTTGTGCACTAGGTACAGGATTTAAATACTGCTGATATGAGACTATCTTTTCCTCGAAGAAAATGAAGAGAAAAATATTGGATTTACTGTGCTGTCAGGAAGAGCACTGACCAATGCCAATTTCCACCGAATCATTGGCCAGCTAGGCATCTATGCACCACCACCATCTCCTTTTTAAAGTTTTAGATGTGCCACTAGTTAATTGAAATGTAAACTGGAGCATTGACTTTTATGATAAATTGATCAGTTCAAAAAGGACCGCTAGGAAAGGGTACAACTGATATTTTTTGAAGAGAACTTTAGAAATGTGTTACAAGCATTTGTAAAAGCTTGTATTCTTGAGGACACAAGTCACATAACACATCAGGAAGTAGAAATGAACAATTGAATCTGGGAACTAGGTGTAGATAGATGGGATGAAGTGTCATTTTTGACTGGTTGAGTTGATTTATCCAACTACCTTTATCGTCTCTTTTGAAGTTATCAACAGTTTTGAAATATATTGCAGGTGCCTATTGTGATGTGTCCTGAAGATGGCTGCTTCCCAGGCCTTTATTGGTCAAACTTCGTGCCCAATCCATGGCTTTCTGATGAATGTACAATGGTTTTGACTTCTGTGTGGGGCAGCACCCAAGCAATTCTTTCTGTAAATATTTTGAGGTAATCAAGAAAGAATTCATAGAAATGAGCTGGTCATTTCTTAAAAAGCACAATCTAAATAATGTAATACATTTCCTTGTAGTTGTAAAGTATCACGGATTAGCCCTGATGACACAATTTACTCGTGGAATGTTCTGGCTTTGGATGGGGACAATATTATTGCTGGTATGTTCATGAGATGATGACATGAGTTCCTCAAAATGTATGGTTTTTGAACTTTATGTACCTCTTCTACTTTCAGAGTGTAGCAGTCCAGTCGATCCTCCCCAAACAAAGTATGGATTTCGAATATCTGCAAAGGAGCAATCAGCTAAATATGAATGGTTAGATGTTTCAAGTCCATTACAAGGGTACTCTGATAAGGTTGTCTCAGCCAGGTCCCTCAAATCCTTTTTCTTCTGACTATATGAGACTTTTAGTTCAACATGCAAATGACTTCTTGTCAAATTACAGATAAGGTCCTTCTTGTCATCTCATCAGTGTACTATATTGAAGATTCCAGTTAGTAATCATTCTGAAAACCTTACCAAAGGTAATATTCATAGTTACCTTCTTGTTATTTTGTGAAATAGATGATGAACGTTTGGTGCATTAGCCTGAACATAAGAATTTTTCAAAATATACATCAAACTGTCTCTGTGTTGAATTTTCTTTTGGTTGCTAATGCATACTCTTACCATGTGATTTCTCAAGTCTATAACTTGAGTGTAGATAAATATGTGTTAATCTCACCACAGTTTTGGAGACAGTGGGTCTTAATATGGAAGAAAATCACCCAGGATAATATCCGTCCTGGCGTGTATGAAAAGCAGACTACGAAAATTACCACTGCACAAAGGCCCCTGTTTGATATGCGAAAGAGAGTCCAACTTTGGGGAGTGTTAGGGGAAAAAATCCCTTAATTAACCAGATTTTATAGTTCTGAGACAGTTCCTTCTGAACTAACTTGTAGGGTTTTATGATCTTCACTGGCAAACTATCCAGTGGTAATCAATTTCCTAAGATTGATGATTTATTGAGTTATTGACAACATAATTAAGATTGAGGCTGTCTTGTTTCTCCAATTTGTTGGAAGAGGTGTAAATAAGGTCAAAGTTTATCGAAGGAGTGTTAAATTCTGAAATTATCTCTTTAATTAGAGGTCTTATATGAGGAAGCTGAACCAATACTATGTGCAACTGGAAGATATCATGCTTAAATAATCAAGCTCTTTTGTAGAAAATTTGAAAGCAAGGTTACCAGGTTACTTCAAGTTTACAGTATCTTCTATGTTGAACGCATAGACATGACACTTGGACACTAGTGCCAGCGGCCTGGACAAGCCTCCTGCAATAATGAAATTCTGAGTCAGGAAAGTACCAGGGGAAAAAAACTAAAGTGAACATCGGAAAGGAAACATCTTCAAGTAAAAGTACTCACACTATCATCCAGAAAAGCATGTCATGACACTTCTTTTGACTATCCCATCTGTCATGATAGGTAAAAAATTGGTGTTAAAGAGAGGCTGTTTCTCCTGAAAATGTGAAACAATTAGTATGTGGTTGTGTGTGTATCGTTATCCTTGTACGTACTATTTAAAAATTTCTGTGTTGGACACTTTATGACAGATGGTCACTTGCCACCTGACCTCTATCTTATATCCAGGCAACACTCTATGAAAGCTCTCCGTTCAGTTAACCATTTTAGGAGTTTTTTTCCCGCTATATTTTGTGTTTTGGAATCTTTCAAAGGCCAAAGGAGGAGCATGCTTTGATGCTTTATGGAAACTCTTAAATTTAAATTAAGCCATTAATTCTCCCACACTTCTTTACAGTTACCTTTCTGCCTTCATTTATTATTTCCTCTTGGTTTCAAGTCCATTGTTCTTTATCTAATGTGATCTTTGCATGGAAACTGGTGCTGGTACGGGTACGGGTACGAGTAAAGTACAGGACATGGAAAAATTTGTAAGAGGTAGGGTACGGGGACATGACTATATACATTTGTTGAAATTAATAATTTTTATGAGATCGATATTGTCTTTTCATTCACATGTTATGAGAACTAATTTTTTTTAAACATTTTTATCATTCTATGTTTCTTTTTATTATGTTGATTATAAATGGATGAGAAGTGTAGGATATTTGTCCAAGAAATGTATGCGGAGTGTTTTAAATTAAAACATGTATTACATAATTGAGTCACGTCCGAATAGATGTATCCATATATGAAAAGGAGTGTCCATGAAGTTTCGGTATGTGTATGGGTACGTGTCCGGTATGGGTACGGCTCAGATAGAAGTACTGAGGTAGCATATCTGAAAAAAGTAACAGAAAAATCCTCAAGTTCCACTTGTATAATAATGTCTTTACTTATTTCTTTCTCAGGGGAGTTTGAGGCCTTTATTGGACTTTATTCATGTTTCCTATTTTTATTTGTAGCATTGACCTCTTGCACATTGTAAAGATTACTATGAAATGTGATGTTCCTATTATTGTGCCAAAGTTCTTTAAATTTTGCATGCAGTTAATTTCAAGTGGATTTAAAATACTAAACACAATGCAGGTGCCAGGAGACATTTTGATGCTATATTCGTGTCATGTGCTGGTTCCAAATCTGAAGAATCATTCAAAGGGAATGAAAATACTAGTGCTTGCAATCCAGTAATTGTAATTCTCCATGGTGGTCCACATTCAGTTTCATTGTCAACCTACACAAAATCAGGGGCATTTCTATCTTCACTAGGCTACAACTTGCTTATTGTAAACTATAGGTAATCTCCTAATGTTACTTTTTCTTCTAGCTACCTCTTTCGCAATTATTAATCCATCCATTGCTGTATGTAGTTAAGCATAGTGTCCAACTTGTTTCACTCCATTCTATTTTGTTAAGAGATAATTGGCTGTGCTATCCTTTCAGATCATTCTTAATTTTGTATCCATTGTGAACTTTTTTTGCAGTAGAGTGCGTTTTCCTTTGGACTAGACTATTGGCCAAACTCTTTCTTCTTAGTAATTCGATAGCACATAAAATGTATTTTAGCTATTTAATAAAGATAATCCAAACATCTGCAACACTTTTATACTGGATTTGTTATATATTGCGAGGCTTTGGTCAAAATTGTTTGTCTAGAGAAAAAAAATTGTCTGAGCAAAGAATATTAGTGCTTTTGTATCTATTCATTGATTAAAAACAAACCATATAATGATAAGGATAGCAAATACCCATATTGTGACAGCAGAATAAATGAACTTCTATTACCCTGTGATTCCTGTGTAATGAGACTAGAATGGTCAAAATAATAAGATAATGCAATGAGAAAGATCAGGAATTTCTTCAGTAAGTTGATGGAATTTTTTTGCGATGGATTGTCCAGGGTCACAATTTTCTATCTTGGTTAAGAGAAGGTTGTATTTGGGTCAAACGGTCTGTAAAATGGTGAAATTCAAATCAAAACCTGTGTACCGGTGCTGAAAGATCCGAGGAACAGTGCGCTAGAAAATTGTGGCCTAATATCGTAATAATAAAAGATGATCCTCTTCTAGCAGATTGCTTTGTAGTTTATGGTTGTGGCTGAAATTGCCCGTGATATCTCTTACACTAGGAAACCTATTATTTCAGTTTTTTCAATGGTCAGTTGCATTATTTTCCAATTCTTAATTTATCAATCTCTGATTGATTTTTTTTCATAGAGGTTCTCTGGGTTTTGGAGAGGAAGCCTTGCAGTCTCTTCCAGGAAAAGCAGGGTCTCAGGTGTTTGATTTAATGTTTTCTCGTGCTCTGATAAACTTTTTACTTACTAAAACTCCATGAGCTAAGAGCATTCTATTTATAATAAAGTTTTTTTTATTTCCAGGACGTGAATGATGTGCTCACTGCTCTAGATTATGCTATTGAAAAGGGACTTGTTGATGCATCTAAAGTAGCTGTTCTTGGAGGTTCACATGGTGGCTTTCTCACGACCCATTTAATTGGGCAGGTTAAGTATTACAAGGATAACTTTTCTGACACCATGTGCTAGCTCTTTCCTTGTTGACTAGTGTGCACCTTGTGTAAAGCACGGTCCTCTTTTTTATGCACCGCATTTTGAACTTGTCTTCCTCAAGTTTTAACACATTTGATTTAATTATTGTACGCTTAAAATTAAAAATCATATCTACTCCTATATACTTAAAGAGTAATCTAAGTTTTAATACATTTGATTTAGAAATCATATCTACTCCTCTATACTTGAAGGAGAATCCACGTTTTAATACATTTAATTTGCTTTACTGTTTATAATACAATAAAAATACTGTAGAATGAATAGTAGCTTCAAGTATAGAGGTTCAAATCTGATTTATTGTTTATACAGCAATAAATACTGTAGTATAAACAGTAACTTCGAGCACGGAGGGCAAGGTCCAGTTCTACCTTCATGCTACTGTAGTGTTTACTGTAGCATGAATATTGATTATTTGGATTCTCTTATAAGGGGATGTTTGGTTGGTTTCCTAAAAATCAAGAAAAGGAAAAGGGTACATGGAAATCAATAAAATATTATTTTCATTAATTTCCATCCCTAAAGCTCACCATAACATCCAATAAAGTATTATTTTCATCCCACAACTCATCTCATATCATCTCCTAAAAATAAACCAAACACAAGAAATGTGTCAGATCATCCAACTCATCTCATCTCCATCACATCTCATCTTTAAAAATCACTCACATCATCCAATAATATGGTAACAACTCATCTCATCTCATTAACATTTTATTTCCACCCATTTCCTCCAAAAAACTAGGAACAAGTTACAGGAAAAGAACCTATTATGAATGATATAATGACAACTCATCTAATCTCATCTATTTTCTTATTTTTATGAATGAACCAAACACAAGAAAAGAACCTATTACAGGAAACAAGTTACTTATAATTTATTTCTTTATTTTTTAGCCAACCAAACAACCTCAAAACAAATTTTCTTAAAAAATCACCCACATCATCCAATAATAATGTGACAACTCATCTCTCATTCTTTGATTTCTTTCTTTTTTCAGCCAACCAAACAATCTCAAAACAATTTTTTTTAGAAATAGGTTTCCTATTCTTTGATTTCCCTCTTTTTTAGGCAAACAAACAGCCCCTAAGTATAGAAGAATAGATATCCATGCATAATATAATGACCTGGACTCACACATGAATTTTCATCTTCTTTATATAGTTTCTCCTTTCCCAAATATATTGATAGCTTTATCATCTATACTACTTAGTCTTGATTATCACAGTGCTAATTATTAGATCCCATAAATATGTTATACTGTGAGATAACCGAGCATATTCTTCATACTTAAAAAAAAAAATCCTATTTTATAGTCTACCAAATTGGAAGCATGAAAGGCTTTGTTTTAAATGAAAGTGAACTATTAATTATACTTCTAACGATAAGATCATGAAAATTTTATGGTTATATATACCAAGACAACTCAACCATGTTTTAGCAACTCGTACAGTTACAGTTATACAGAGAGTCATAGGCTTGATCAACTCTGTAAGAATAGCAATCACGTTTAGTTTAGTTATTATATATATACCAAGACAACTCAACCATGTTTTAGCAACTCGTACAGTTACAGTTATACAGAGAGTCATAGGCTTGATCAACTCTGTAAGAATAGCAATCACGTTTAGTTTAGTCTTGTAATAACTTTTGCAAAGGACTCGTCGTTTACAACGTCTATCAATAATGTTTTTCCCACATACTCAGTAGAACTCATGATCACCAACACACAACAAACAAACTGACAACATTCAAAACCTATTAGTTGTTTCTTATCACTAGTTTTAAATATAAAAATACATATAATAAATGAAAAGATTCTTCAGATTTTTAAAACTTATTTTCTTACCACCAAATTCAACATATGCACATTAGTATTGACATTATCTAATAACACATCTAGTTTGTTAAAGTATCAGTTAGGGAAATTTGTTCTTTTAAGAGGTTTACACCATGCACACACACTTCAAAGAATTTTTATTAGTCTTAGTGAGACAACAGTTTTTGATATTATATATGTGCTTTATGGATCTCAAAGAAATGCGCAACTTTATTTGATAAATGGCATGTGTATAATATATTCAGGAAATTTGTAGTATAACTGGTGTCTTTATTGATTTGCAGGCGCCAGATAGGTTTGTTGTGGCAGCTGTCAGAAATCCTGTTTGCAACCTTTCGTTGATGGTTGGTACTAGCGATATTCCTGACTGGTGTTATGTAGAAGCTTTTGGAACAGAAGGAAAGAAGTTATGTACCGAGGCTCCTTCTTCTGAACATCTTAATCTCTTTTACAATAAATCGCCTATTTCTCACCTCTCAAAGGTATGCAATTAACAGCGACAATTATTTTGTTCTGTTTTTTATCAGTTTTTTAGTCACTTTGACATTGAGTTCTTTGTATAAGAAGTGCCTTGTAATTAGTGCAATATTACCAACATCGATTTCTGGAACATTTAGTGTTTGAGCACCCTCTTGAGCTTTGATCACCTCAGCCCTCTATAGCATTATCTTGGGCCAGTCGCTCTTTTTTATAAATTTTACTACAGTCACCTATGAAAATCAGCTAAACTAATTGTGTGTTTGGCAACTTTAAAATAGAATTGAGCTAGCCTAATTTTATCTTAAGTAGACCAAAGTTGAACAATATTAGGGTTTGGTCCACAAAAGAACTAGTCTAGGAGAACTAGTTCAATTTGGGTCCAACTTTTATGGGAAATGAAGTGCGACTATCTTCCAAGCATTCCTTGACCGGTACATCAAAACTGTATTGCAGTTTTCACCTTACCACACAAATCATACACAACCTAGACTAAGTACAAGTTGAAAAACTGGGAGAAAAATAGAAAGTTGATTCTTTTCTATATATTTCCGCAATTTATGAGTAACAAAGCTGCTATTTAAATTACAACTGTACACTAACAATAAGCCTAATTTTCTTGATTCTCTCATCCCTAAATATCTGGTTGGTTAAAACCGAATATCTTCTATTTAAAATATAAATCTTTCCTAGAGATATATACAAAAATCTCCTAGGGAATATTCCTCCTATTCAACACTCCCCCTCAAGCCGGCTTGTAGATGTCTTCCATAGCTAGCTTGCATCTTAAGTCTTCAACATTCTTCTGTGTAATCCTTTAGTAAGGATATCTGCAGTTTGCTCAGTGGTGAAGATATAAGGGATACAAATCATACCACAATCAAGCTTTTTCTTTGATGAAATGCTTGTCAACTTCTATATGTTTGGCTGTCATGAAGAACTAGATTATGAGCAATTGAAATGGCTGCCTTGTTATCACGGTAGACTCTTATAGGACAAGAGATAGTGACCTTCAAATCTTGCAGTAGTCTCTTTATCCATATAGCTTCACATATTCCATGCGCAAGTGTTCTAAACTCGGCTTCTGCACTACTCCTTGCTACTACACTTTGTTTCTTGCTTCGCCAAGTGACTAAGTTCCCACCAACAAATGTACAATATCTCGAGGTTGATCGTCTATCAATGGTGCATCTAGCCCAATCCGCATCAGTGTATACCTCCACCTGTAGATGGTCTCGTTTTTTGAACATGAGTCCTCTACCTGGTGAGCCTTTTAGGTATCTCAGTATCCTGTAAACTGCATCATAATGTTCCTGTCCAGGAGAGTGCATAAATTGACTCACCTTGTTGACTGCAAAAGCTATATCCCGGCGTGTATGGGATAAGTAGATTAGTCTCCTTAGTCCTTACTAACCTTTGATATCGTTCTCGGTCAACTACATCTTCGGGTTTGGCAGCTTCTAACTTCAAGTTTACTTTAACTGGAGTGTCTGCGGCTTTAGCCCCTAGCTGTCCTGTCTCCTTGAGTAAATCAAACACATACTTTCGTCGATTCACGAAGATCCCTTCTTTTGACCTAGCAAATTCCATTCCGAGGAAGTATTTCAGCGCTCCTAAGTTTTTAACTTCGAAATCTTCAACAAATTTCTTCTTTCATCTTGTTATCTCCTTAATGTCATTACCAATCAAAATTATATCATCCACATAAAATTAAAATAGCAATTTTCCCTTCCTCACCGTGTTTATAGAACATGGTGTGATCAACTTGACTTTAGTGATATCCATGACTCTTTATAACATTTCCAAAGCGTTCAAACCACGCTCTTGGGGATTGTTTCAAGCTATATAGGGATTTCTTTAGTTTGCGAACTTTATTCTGGCTATGCTTCTCTTCAAACCTGGTAGTAGGCTCATAAATACTTCTTCCAAGTCTCCATTCAAAAAAGCATTTTTTATGTCTAACTGTTGTAATGCCCAGTTGAAGTTGACGGCCAATGACATCTCCATTCAAAAAAGCATTTTTTATGTCTAACTGTTGTAATGCCCAGTTGAAGTTGACGGCCAATGACAGTAAGACTCGGATAGAATTGATCTTTGCTACGGGAGCGAATGTCTCTTGATAATCAATGCTATAGGTTTGTGTAAAACCTTTTGCCACAAGTCTTGCTTTGTCCCTTTCCACACTTCCATCAACTTTACTCTTGATGGTAAACACCCATTTGCACCTAACAATCTTCTTTCCTCTGGGCAAGTCAACTATCTCTTATGTTTTGCTGCCTTTTAGTGCATTCATCTCTTCTAACACTGCTGATTTCTAGTTCAGATCATCTAGTGCTTCTTGAATATTTCTCGAAACAAACAAGTGAGAGATTTGAAGTGAAAGATTTATGTTTAGACAGTTTTTAATAAGATAAGAATTTTGCAATGGAATGCTGGGTACAAGTTTGGGTTCCTTTTCTAAGGACTATAGGTAGATTAGAATTGTCAAGAACTTGACTAGACAATTCTATATTATTAGGGATAATTGCAGGCAAGTTAGAATTTTGAGTACCTTGAGTAATCAGTGAGTCATCACTCGGGACCTCTGATTGGCCTTGCTTTGATACAATAGTAGGCTCTCTACTCTTTTGAAGAGTCTTTCTCCTGCTATAAACTAGAAGCTCAGGATTTGAGGTTGTCTGAACAGGTAGTATTTCTTCCTCTGTTGAAGATGTAATATGTTTGGCAAATTAATATCAAGGTTATCTAATTCTTAGCCTTATTTAAAGATACTTGTGTCCAAGGTACTAGGATGTGAGACAATGGTTTTAGGTAAGGGAATATCAGAAATCTCCTAAAAATTTTCTTCACTCTTATTCTCCTCCTGAAGCAAATTTTTCTGAAAATAGGGTTGGTTTTCAATGAAAGAGACATCCATACTAATAACAAGTTTTTTGTTTTAGGATTTAAACATTTGTATCCTTTTATATTTGGAGCATATCCAACAAAAATATATTTTTTAGCTCGAGGATTCAACTTAGACCGAAGTTTGCTACGTAAATGGACAAGCACAATACATCCGAAAACTTTTAAAGGTGGATTAGAGTAAATCCGAGTTTCAAAAAGACCTTTTTGAGACTTTCAAGGGGTGTAGCAAAGTTAAGAACACGGGTAGGCATCCTATTGATTAGATATGATGCTGTTAGGATGACATCACCTCATAAGTATTTAGGAACATTCATAGAAAACATGATAGCACGAGAAACTTCAAATAAATGCCTATTTTTTTGCTTTCAGCAATTCCGTTTTGTTGAGGTGTGTTACCACATGTAGACCGATGAAAAATTATTTTTTCTTTAAAATATTCGGTGCCATTATCTGTATGAAGGATGCCAATTTTTGTTTGAAATTGATTTTTCAATAAACATGTAAAAGTTTTTAAACAATTTTTCAACCTTAGATTTTTTGTGCATTAAGTAGACCCAACACAAACGAGTATTATCATCAATAAAGGTCACAAACCATTGTTTTCCAGAAAGAGTTGTAACCCTAGAAGGGCCCCAAACATCACTATGTATTAGATAAAACAGTTTTGAAGCTTGATAAGGTCGGGGTGAATAAATAGCACGATGGCTTTTTGATAAAAAACAGTTCTCACAATACAAAGATGAACAATTCAATCCTTTAAACAAAGTAGGAAATAATTTTCTTAGATAGGGAAAACTAGGATGCCCTAGTCTAAAATGCCATAACATAATTTGTTCTCTAACCGGGATAGAACCGATACTACCTAGTCTTTGAGCCATTTTATTTTCAGAAATATCATCTTCAAAATAGTAGAGACCATCTATCATCTTAGCACTGCCAATCATCCTCCCCGAGTTCTGATCCTGAAATTCACAGTGGGATTCAAAGAAAATAATATGAAAATTAGAGTCTTTGGATAATTTACTAACTGACAACTGGTTACAAGCAAGTTTTGGAACATGTAGGACAGAATTTAGATTAATGGAGGAAGAGAGTTTGACCAAATATTTTCCTGCAATTGAAGAAAAAGAACCATCGGCTATTCTGATTTTTTCAGAACCAGAACATGGTAAGTTTGGAACAAATTTGAAAAACTTGTCATATGGTCTGAAGCCCCAGAATCAATGATCCATAGGGTGGCACGAGAATTAGAATGATAAAATAGGGCTCTTGGGTTTTTACCTGTTTGAGCAAGAGAAGCATTAGGAGTACTAGACGTGGAAGCGGATTTCAGCAATTTTAGAAGGTCTTTTACCTGTTCCTTACTAAAGGGAACAATTCAGTTTCATGGACTGTTGGTGCACGAGTGTTTCCGCCTTCCTACGACCTGCCTTGTTTACTCTTCCAATTGGTTGGCTTTACATGAATCTTCCAACAATTCTCTTGAGTATGACGAGGTTTATTGCAGTGGTCACACCACACACGAGGCCCCTCATCATATTTTCAGCCAATATTGGCTTCGGATGTCATTAAGGCAGAGGTTTCAACAACGCCAATGGACTCATTTCTTCCAAGCATAACCAGCCTTCGACTCTCTTCCCTTCGAACCTCAGAAAAAACCTCACCAATCAAGGGCAGTGGTTGTCTCCCAATAATTCTGCCTCTCACTTCATCAAACTCGACATTGAGTCCAATGAGGAAATTGAAGATGCGATTGTCTTCCATGGTTTCTTGTACTGATTGCAATCCTCAGGCGATTTCCACTCATAATTATTGAACAAATCAAGGTCCTGCCATAGCCGCTTCAATGAGTTAAAGTATTTTGTAACGCTGTCTTTCCCCTGGTGAATCTCTCCAAGTTTTAGTGTCAATTCATAGATTTGGGATCGATTTCCCATGTCTGAATACATTTGGTTAACATTCTCCCATAGTTCTTTTGTTGTGTGATAACACATGTAATTAGAACTGATGTCTTCTTCCATAGAATTAACCAGCCAAGTCATCACCATTAAGCTTTTTGCATCTTGAATACGACAGATCCTTTGGTTGTGGTTCCTTC